TGAGCTCAGTTGAGAGGGGTTGGATCGACGGAGAGGCCTCCTGGATCCCGGTCGAGTCTGGGCGCTGGAAGGTGCCTGACCACATCGTGCTGGGGGAAGGGCGGGCCGCGCTGAAGGTCCTGTCGCGTCTGGCGCTGCTGCCGGAAGCTCACCGCTCGAAGGTCCTCAGCCTCGAGGACAACATGGCTTTCGCGGGCGCTGCGGCCAAAGGCCGATCGGCCGCCGGCCCCGTGAACTACTTACTCAGGCGGAGGTGCGCGTTGTCGAGCGCCACGGAGATCAGGATGCACCTCCCCTGGGTGGAGACCGAGAGGATGCCCGCGGATGGCCTCTCACGTATGAGAGGATGTGGTCAGGATTCAGAGGGGCACAACGCCCCGGTGCCGAGAGTAGACGCGCGCAGCGTGCGCATCATCCAGAACTGACTTTTTCGAGCCCGAGGGTGCCAGACGACAAGCACCTGGAGGGCCGTGTGCAGCCTGAGACATTGCTAACCTATCGCAAGCGAGCAGCGGAGTTTTACCAGTGGTGCGTGGCCGAGGGGGCCCGCCCCTGGAGCCCTGACGAGTGGGACGACACGATCATGGAGTACAAGGCCTCAGTGGACTTGCTCAAGAGTCATTTCACCTCCCTGCTCGCCGCTATCGAATTCAAGTTTCCGCGGCTGAAGGGCCGCCTTTGCAGGTGCCACGCTGCCTTGCGTGGCTGGGAGTTAGAGCACCAGACCAAGCACGCAGTGCCGATGGTGAGCACCGCCCAGGCTTTCGTCAGTGTGCGGCTCAGCACGCTCGGAGAGCCTCGCCTGGCCATCGGCCTCATGTTGCAGGGAAAAGTCGGGATGCGGCCCAGCGAGATGCTGGGGATCGTCACGTCCGATCTCGTCTTCCCCGAGGAGTCTGGGTACGGTCGAGGTCGAGGGCCCCTGATAGTAGGCTTGGGTATCAAGGCGAACACCAAAGCGAAGCGCCCCCAGTCGAACGCCATCCTGGAGGCCTCCAGCCCTGTATTGGTGGATCTCCTGAGGACCCTGAAGGCCCACGCGCCCCCAGGGGGCCGCATGTTCCCCTACACCCTCGAGAAGTACCGCAAGTTGCTCGCTCGCATCCAGTCGGAGTGTAACCTACCAATGGGATGGACCCCCCACAGTGCCCGAGCAGGTTTCGCTTCAGAGGCCACAGCGTGGGGTATGTCTTTCGAGCAGATTCGAGAAACAGGCCGTTGGAAGGTGGACAGTTCCCTTCGAGTATATATCGACATGGTCCAGGCCGCCCACATAGCCGTGGGGCTCAAGGCGGCTGGGTGGGGTCCAGCTTTCGATTGGGCCGGCCAACACTGGGCCTGGTGTGCGCTACGGGCGTTGCATGGCACCGAAGGGCTCCAGACGCCTGGCTGACGGGTCATGGGCGACACCAGAGACGATACCGACAGCCAGATCGAGCACGCCACCGCCATCACCTTTCTCTACCGGGAACTCGTCCTGGGTACTACCGAGCTACCCACCTACGCCGACTAGTTTGGTTTCACCTTTTGGGCTGACGCCGTCACCAACGCCGACGGGTACGGCAACACCGCCAGTGGCTAAGGCGGCGCCTGGAGTGCCGACTTCATGGGCGTCCCCCAGGCCACAGCCGACCCGCCGACGAGTTTCTTCTGTATGGTACCTGTGGAAGTTGGCTAAGTTGTCTTCCAGCTGCAGCGGGGGCTGCAGCTGTGCTGTGCTCATCTTGGCGGTGCTACTGACTACGGCGTGGAGCCCCCTGTTCGCACGCTCGATGAGCATCGCCTCGGACGTGGCTGAGGAAGTCGGAGGGGCGGCAGGCCGCATGATGGGCGCAGGTGCGAACGTGTCGTCGAGCGCGGCACGGATCTTCAGCGCCCTCACCGACAACACCCTCAGCCTCGCCGAGACCGCTTGGGAAGGCATCGACCTCACGAATGTTACGGTCAACAGTTCCGCCGGCCGCATCTTTTTCGATGGAAACGAGTACGTCGAGGACGTACTGACTACGCCAGAGGCTCGAGCGGTGATGGGACTGCCCGACCACTGGCTCCAGGCTTTGGCGGATATTTTGATTTTTGCATCACCTTCTCGCCCGCTGGTGGAAGTACACAAGCACCTCTTCATCAGCGACTCATCCTATACCTCCCTGGACCTCTGGATGGCCTGGTTCGATACGGGCCACGTGGGCTTGGCCTGGAGGACTGCAGGTGTTACCTACAACGTACGCTGGGCCAACCCCCTGTGGTCGCTGACCGAGGACGCTACCACTCAGACGGTTCGGATCTCGGAGCTGCTGCAAGAAGCTATCCAGGCGACTATCGACAAGCCAGACCTCACTCTATCCAAGTCAGCCCTACAGCACGCTCCAGCCATCACACCACCCTCAGTGCCGATGAGGATCTGGAGGTGGAGCAAGCGCCTAGCCGCCTGGGCTTGGCCGCGAGACGGGAACGGGGCCTTTCGCTCGTCATCGGCGCCGGGCGCCGAGGACGAGTCCTCTGCCGCCGACGGGACCGCCGCCGACGAGGGCTCCCCGGAGATGGGCGAGGGCGCCAGCCACAGCGTGCCCGAGCCCTCAGCATAGGCCGCAAGCGAGTACGGGTGGTGGAGCGAGGACCTAGCGAAGATCAGGTCGACCGAGTGCCTTTTCTTTCAACGCAGGCTTTTCATCAGATCACACGTTCATTCCAGTCTGCCGGGGAGGTGTGCGTGACCGCACACAGATGTGAATATTTCTCAGCAGTGAATGATAACAAGTTATCTCTCGAGGTCCGTGCGGGAAAATTGAGCGAGTTTCGTATTCAGCAGCGCCACGCGCAGGCACGTCCCGGCCACTAGGGCCCAAGTGCCCAGAGCCTCTAGGGTGTGGCGTCTAGGGCTGTAGGCTAGGGCTCTCTCTTTGGTCCTCTTAAGGTTCACTGGGGTGGGGCCCCGTTCTTTGGGATCGCACCTGAAATGGGTGAGTGAGTTTGTGAACGTTGATTTTCAGATAGGTTAGCGAAGGGGCCATAGGGCGGGATATGTCTTGTTGTTTCGGACGTTGTCTCCAGGTCTTGCCTGCGCCCGAAACCGTTTCAAGTTCAAGGCACCCTCCCAGCCCTCGGTCCTCGGTACAGGTCTCACTTGCTGCCCGTTCGTTCTGCCGTCCCCCCCGAGCCGTGGTCAGCACCACGCAGCGGGGGGTTCTTACCGTTCCCCTTCAGGCATCCCTCCCCCTCGCTCGGACCTAGCGAAGATCAGGTCGACCGAGTGCCTTTTCTTTCAACGCAGGCTTTTCATCAGATCACACGTTCATTCCAGTCTGCCGGGGAGGTGTGCGTGACCGCACACAGATGTGAATATTTCTCAGCAGTGAATGATAACAAGTTATCTCTCGAGGTCCGTGCAGGAAAATATTGAGTGAGTTTCGTATTCAGCAGCGCCACGCGCAGGCACGTCCCGGCCACTAGGGCCCAAGTGCCCAGAGCCTCTAGGGTGTGGCGTCTAGGGCTGTAGGCTAGGGCTCTCTCTTTGGTCCTCTTAAGGTTCACTGGGGTGGGGCCCCGTTCTTTGGGATCGCACCTGAAATATGTATGTATGTATGTATGTATGTATGTATGTATGTATGTATGTATGTATGCATTTATGTATGTATGTATGTATGTATGTATGTATGTATGTATGTATGTATGTATGTATGTATGTATGTATGTATGTATGTATGTAGGTATATATACACGAACACATCATCTTGCCCCGCATGAGAGAAGATGGGGAGGAGCAGGAGTAGGAGGAATCAGAGGAGAAGGAGGAGGATGAGGACGAAGAGGAGGAGGAGGAGGAGGAGGACATGGATGAGGAGGACTGGGAGGAGGAGGAGGAGGAGGAGGAGGAGGAGGAGGAGGAGGAGGAGGAGGAGGAGGAGGAGGTTGTATACGACCCTGCATGTGCTACTCGTTGCCAATGTTTATTCTCCCCCGAACGGGTTCATGAAACAACATAAGATCATACTGCCCCGAATAGGACAGGAGGAGGAGGCGGAGGAGGAGGCGGAGGAGGAGGAGGAGCAAGAGGAGGAAGAGGATGAAGAGGAGGAGGAGGAGGCGGAGGAGGAGGAGGAGGATGAGGATGAGGATGAGGATGAGGATGAGGATGAGGATGAGGATGAGGAGGAGGAGGAGGAGGAGGAGGAGGAGGAGGAGGAGGAGGAGGAGGAGGCGGAGAGGTTTTGGTGGTCCTTGGGGCCTTGGAGCGTTTTTGTTACCTCGGAGGAGCCTCTTGGGGCCTTTCTGGTCTCTCGTGGGGGCCTGTTGGAGGCCTCTTGAGGGCCTCCCTGGTGATGCTGGGCACATCCCTGGTGGTGCTGGGCGCCCCTTTGGGCTCTCTTGGAGCTATCTTGGCCCCCCTGGCTCAAAGAAGAGGGGGTCGGACATTCCCCTTTCCCCCCCTCGGAGGCTCCAAGATGGCCTCTTGGGGCCCTCTTGGGGCGCTCTTGGGCGTCCACTGGGCGCTCTTGGGGCCGTTTTGGGGCAGACATGGGCTCCTGTTGGGGCTCTCGTGGGCTATCTTGGGGCCATTTTGCGGCCCAGAAGGCTCGTCGGAAGCGAAATAACGAGAAGTCAAACGACATTGATTTCCCTTAGTTTTTTGAAGGACTTTGGCCTCTTGAGGGGGCACTTGGAACCGTCTTGGGGCTGTCTCGGGGCGTCTTGGAGACATGTCGGAGGCTATCTTGAGCGATGTTGAGGTATCTTGAACCATCGTGGAGGCGTGTTGGACTGCTGAGGGCACTCTTGGAGCCATCTTGGGCGGTCTGCCAACTTGGAGGGGGCCCCTCTTTGGGGCTCAGGGGAGGGGCTAGGGGGAGGGGTCAACTTTTTTCCCGGGCAGGGGAAGGAGGGGTTGTGGCAGACAGCTGAGACCAATTCGTCAAACCACTCAGCCCAGAGGGCTGGTTGGACTTCTTCGCGATGTCGTCATTCGCCTCTCGGATCTTGGTGTCAACTGCGATACGTTTGTCATGACGGAGGATCTTCGAGTCGAGCTGGCGCCGGTGAGTGAGATGGCCGCGAGCCTGCGTGCCGCGGTCCAACACGAGGTCGGCGGCGCCCTCCTCCGCGGCCTCGACGTCGAGGGCTATGGCGGCTACGAGCAGCTGGAGTTGACTACCGCTCGCATGAAGCTCGCCTACTACATCCTCTGCAGCATGATTGGGCAGGTGGACGGCGGCGCCCGCGGGCGCCTTTTCGACGTGAAGGATTCGGGGAAGAGCACCGACTGCGACAACGTCCTCTTCTCTGTGAGCAACACCGAGTCCGGCTGGCACACAGATGGCACCTCGCGCAACCGCGTTTACGACGTGGTGGCGCTTATGTGCATCGTGCCAGCGGCCAGCGGGGGGCTGCTGCGCCTCAGCAACGGTTGCAATGCCTTCGAGACATTGAAACAACGCATCCCAAAGTTCTTGCTCTACGAGCTGCTGCGTCCGATCCCCCGCGACGTGATGGAGAACGGTAACGGCAAGGGCCACACAGACCTGCTCACGACCATGGTGCGATCGCCAGAGCTGCTGCGCCTGCGCGCGAGGATGAACGGGATTCGTGTTTTGTTTTTCCTCTGAAGCTTTGTTCTTTCTTCCGTAGGATCTTTCGGGTGGGCTGGAATTTTTTGTCCCTTTGGCCCCCTCGCCAAGGCTTGTTCTTTTTCCCCTGGGGACTTCTGTTTTCCCTTTTGTGCTTTTTGTTTCCCTCTGAAGCTTTTCTTTATTCCCCAATCAGAGCTTGCCTCTGTAGGGGTCCTAGCGGATTCATATGGTTAGGTTAGGCTCGCCGCTGATTTTCGCGGCACGCCCGGGTGCCCGGGTGCCCGGGGGTGCCCGGGTGCCCGGGGGTGCCCGGGGGTGCCCGGGTGCCCGGGTGCCAGCGGGTGCCCGGGCGTGCCTGGGGGTGCCCTGGTGCCCGGGTGCCCAGGCGTGCCCGGGGGTGCCTGGGGGTGCCCGGGGGTGCCTTATAGCCCTATAGCCCAATAGCCCAATAGCCCTACAACTCTATAGACCCATAGCTCTATAGTCCTATAGCTCCATATTCATAAGGTGAGGTTAGGTTTGCCGCCGATTTTCGCACGCCCGGGTGCCCGGGTGCCCGGGGGTGCCCGCGGGTGCCCGCGGGTGCCAGGGTGCCCGCGGGTGCCCGGGTGCCCGGGTGCCCGGGCGTGCCCTGGGGTGCCTGGGGGTGCCCGGGGGTGCCCTATCAATAGCCCAATAGCCTTACAACTCTATAGCCCCCCTAGCCCGATAGCCCTGATTGGGTTTTTTCTCTGGTATCATATGTATATACACGTACAAATGCATACGCACATGTATTTATACACCTAAATGTGTAATTATAGATGGTTGCCCCAAAGATCATACATCTTGTCTGGAATCGCATTCTTCTGATTTTCGCTTCCCCTCCTCTTCACATAATTCTGAACCTGTTCCCTCCTCCTCGCTTCTCCTCCTCATCTCTCGCTCTTCTCCCTCCTCTCCTCCTCCTCCTCCCTCTCATCCGCCTCATCTTTCTCTTCCTCCTCCTACTCCGTATCCTCTCTCCTCCTCCTCCTGCCGCTCCAATCACTATTCAATTATTTTCCTTCTCCTCATCTCCTTCTCATCTTCCTCCTCCTCCTCATCCCCTTTTTATTGTGTCCCTCTCTATCCCGAGGAGGGGGGTGGTGTGGACGAGGAGGAGGAGATGCGTGAGGAGGAGGAGGAGGAGGAGGAGGAGGAGGAGGAGGAGGAGGAGGAGGAGGAGGAGAGGGAGATGCGTGATGACGAGATGCGTGAGGAGATGCGTGAGGGGGATGATGAATGCGACCCAGTGATGACGAGGATGCTGATGATGAGGATGCTGAGGATGATGCAGATGGTGATAACGATGATGATGCTGATGCTGATGCTGACGCTGATGATAATGATGATGATGTTGATGATGATGATGGTGGTGGTGGTGGTGATGGTAATGATGCCGCTGCTTCTCATGCTGATGATGCTGATGATGCTGATGATGATGCTGATGGTGAAAACGATGATGATGCTAATGCTGATGCTGACGCTGATGATAATGATGATGCTGATGCTGATAATGATAATGATAATGATAATGATAATGATGATGATGATGATGATGATGATGATGATGATGGTGATGGTGATAGTGATGGTGCTGATGCTGCTGCTGTTGCTGATGCTGATGATGATGCTGATGATGCTGATGACGATGACGATGATAGTGATGCTGATGATGCTGATGCTGACGATGGTGCTGATGCTGATGATGGTGGTCGTGGTGGTGGCGGTGATGATGATGCTGATGCTAATGATGGCTGCTGGTGATGATGCTGATGATGATGCTCATGATGATGATGCTGATGCGGATGCGGATGATGATGATGATGATGATGATGATGATGATGATGATGATGGTGATGATGATGATGATGGTGATGATGATGATGATCATGATGATGGTGATGGTGGTGGTGGTGGTGATGGTCATGGTGATGATGATGATGCCGATGGTCATCCTGATGCTGGCGATGATGCTGTTGCCGATGATGCTGATGATGATGATGCTGGTTGTGGTGGTGACGATGCGGATGATGCTGCTGATGATGATGATGATGATGATGATGATGAGGATGATGATGATGATGATGATGATGCTGATGATGATGATGATGTTGGTGATGCTGATGATGACGCTGATGCTGATGCTGATGCTGATGCTGTTGCTGATGATGATGCCCATGCTGATGCTGATGCGGACGCTGATAATGGTGATGATGCTGATGATGATGCTGATGACGATGACGTTGACGATGATGATGCTGATGATGATGATGATGATGATGATGATGATGATGATGCTGTTGCTGCTGATGAAGAGGATGACGAGGATGCTGATGATGCTGATGATGACGATGCTGACGATACCGATGATGATGATGATGCTGATGATGATGAGGATAATGCTGATGATGCTGACGATGATGCTGATAATGCTGCTGATGCTGTTGATGCCGCTGCTGCTGATGAGGATGGTGATGGTGATGATGGTGATGGTGATGATGATGGTCATAATGACGATGATGATTATGATGATGATGGTGCTGCTGATGATGATGATGCTGATGATGGTTATGAAGCTGATGACGACGATGATGATGATGATGATGATGCTGATGATGATGATGATGATGATGATGATGCTGTTGATGATGATGAGGATGATGATGATGATGATGCTGCTGCTGATGCTGATGATGATGATGATGATGATGATGATGCTGATGCTGATGCTGATGCTGATGCTGATGCTGATGCTGATGCTGATGCTGATGCTGCTGATGATGATGATGAGGAGGAGGAGGAGGATGGAGGGGAGGAATGCGCAGGAGAGAGGAACGAATGCGAGGAGGAGGAGGAGGAGAAGGAGGAGGAGGAAGAGGAAGTAGGAGGAGGAGGAGGAGGAGGAGGAGGAGGAGGAGGAGGTTGAGGACTGACTCATCAAAGGCCTTCCCCTCCCTCCTCAGGGAGGGAGGAGTGAGGAGAGAGGAGAGCGCAGGAGGGAGGAAGGAATGCGAGGAGGAGGAGGAGGAGGAGGCGGATGAGGAGGAGTGAGGAGCGTTCAGTGAGGAGCGAGGAGGAGGGGAGACGGCGGGTTGGGGAAAGGATGAGGAGTGAGAAATGAGGAGCGAGAAGTGATGAGTGAGGAGCGAGGATGACTGAGGAGTCCGTCCGCCGTCTGCCGTCCTCTATCCTCCTGCGGCCCCTCACAGAGAACGGCGGACAGCGGACGGACTCATCACTCCTCCTCCTCCTCCTCCTCCTCCTCCTCCTCCTCCCCGTCCTTCAGGCTAGCTGGACACTGGATAACCAAGACAACAAAAGAAACAACCACAGACAATAAAGACACCAAATACAATGACACACAATGACAAACAATTCATGACACAACAACAAAACAACACAACACAACAAAACAAACAATGACACATAATCAACAACATGAACAGATATGCTGCATCAGTTTTCCTTGTGAGGCCGGCAATGATGGGGTAAGTCTTGAACTATTGCTTTCTATGTTGGCAGCATTTCCTTGTATTGAACTATTTCCTTTGTAAGTTGTACTCAGTGCCCGGCCTCCTCGTCCTCCTCGTCTCTCGTCCTCGTGGAAGACGGACCTGGGGAGGGCATCATCATGCTCTTCTTCCTCTTGCTCCTCTTCCTCCTCCTGCTCCCTCCTCCTCGCTTCTCTCCTCCTTATCTCTTATCCTTCCCACCTCCTCTCTCCTCCTCCTCCCTCCTCCTCCCCATCCGCCTCATCCTCCTCCTTCTTCTTCTCCTCATCCCTCCTCCTGCCGCTCCCGTCACTATTCATCCTTCTCCTCCTCATCTCCTCACACTCCTCATCCTCCTCATCCCCTTCGATTGTGCCCCTCTCTACCCGCAGTAGGTAGATGATGAGGAGGAGGACGAGGAGAAGGAGATGAGTGAGGAGGATGAGGAGTAGCTAGATACGATGAGTGCGAGCCCGATGATGATGGTGATGATGCTCATGAGGATGAATGTTGCTGATGCTGATGCTGATGCTGATGATAAGGATGATGATGACGATGATGATGATGATGATGATGATGATGATGATGATGATGATAATGATGATGATGATGCAGATGATGCTGATGGTGCTGATGATGATGATGATGATGGTGATGATGGTGATGGTGATGATGATGGTGCTGATGCTGATGATGATGCTGATGCTGATGCTGATGATGCTAATGCTGCTGATGCTGATTAGGATGATGATGAGGAGGAGGAAGAGAAGGATGACCAGGAGGAGGAAGATGCTCTCCCTCTCTCCCCCGCTTTCTCTCGTTCTCTCTCTTCCTCCTCCTTCTCGTCCTCCTCCTTCTCTTCCTCATTTTCTGTTCCCTCTCGTTCTCCTTTCCCGCTTCTCCTACTCTAAACACACTTCCTCTTCCTCCTCCTCATCCGCCTCCTCCTTATCCTTTCGGTTTCCTTCTCTCTGTAGGAAGGCAACAACAATAATACACAGTGTTTGGCGCCCTCGGTGCAAGGGCACCCTGTATGTTGTCGTTTTTTGTTTTTGGTTGCTTCCTTTTTCTGGTAAGGGATGCAGGACAACATTTGTTTGTTTTGTGTTGGAGCTCCAGAAGAGGAGGAGGAGGAGGTGCTGGGGGGGAGGCCGCGGGGAGTACTTGAGTTTCCGAAGCCAAAAGAACCAAGGACATCAAGCATGCGCACTGCTTCCTTGCATCCCAGACCAAAACAACCAAAACAACTGAACATACACAGCGTTTCCTTGCACCGAGGGCGCCAAACACGGTGTATTCTTGGTTTTCTTTCTTTGCAACAAGGAGGAGGAAAGGAAAGGAGAAGGAGGGGGAAAGAGGAAGGTGGAGAAGGAGAAGGTGCTTTGGGGGGAGGCCGCGGGGAGCACTTGAGCTGCCAGAATGAAGGAAAACCAGACAAACAAAAACAAGCATACGCAGTTTTTCCTTGCATCCTAGACACAAAAAAAACATGAAAAAAATTAACATACACAGCTAGGGGCG